GTTCATTGGACCATCATAGCGGTCCCCGTCTGCTCAGCAGGTGTCCAGGGTGTTGTGAATGCCTCGGGTGGTTTAACTGCAACATTTATGTCGCATTACAAGGCACTCCAGGCGGCTATGCCGATAAAGGGTCTGTAGGTAAGACTCACAACACATGCAAAGCAGTGTGAGGGCCGCCGCCATGGCCCATGGTTCGATCAGCAAAAAAGCGGATATGTGCGCCACGTCAAAGAAGGGGCTGCACCGAAGGCGATGAAAAAGGATCGCATTGATGTGTAGGATGTCAGAGTGGAGTAGTATGAGAAAATTAGGTTGTAAGAAACCATCAACCATCAACAGCGCACTGCCTGATGACATAACGGAGTGCCCATGCAGTGCCGCTGCTGGTATAAATGATTGGTGTGCTGGCAAACTCCAACCGTATCTTCAGTCTATCATAAATCTGCTACAGAAACATCAGTCTATCATAAATCTGCGCCAGCATCCTACACATAAAAAGTGGCGCGAGATCACCGCGTTATATGTGTGAGCGTCTCATCGCCCGCGCAAGCACGAATCCTCGCGTGAGTCTGGTAGTGATCATCCCGCATGGCGGATAGTAGTACGCTGCTGGTGCGGCCAGGGCAGGACGCGGGCGCCGGCAGCGTCCACTGGCTGCCAATCAAGACGAGCCACAATGGGCCCTGCAAGGTGCAGGAGTTCTTTGGGCCGGAGTTGTGTCAAGGTGAACTAAATGTGCTGCTCTTGGTTGCGCTACTGAGCTGCTGGCCGATGCGCGCAACCACTGATGCGGTGATGCCACTTCTGCTTTGTGGGTGCAGCATCACATGCATTGTATTGTGTGCTTCGTACTTCATGCTGATTCGGCCATCTTGACGATGAGCGCCTTTGACACATTCAGGCAATGTTTCACTACCTCCAAGCACTACTCATGCTGCAGAACAAGTCGGCGGCGCTCAGGTCCTCGAAGCGCACCTACGTGGGCGCCACTTGAAAGGTGCGGCCAGGCGGCTGATGCACTCGCATCTGGCGATCTTTTGCCCCGGCCCCGGCTACCCTGATGCCGCTGGAATTACTGACGACAGCCTTTTGTGCCCAGGTCTGGCGCGGCAGCTGCCGCCCGGCTACGCCGGCATTGTGGTGGTCCGCAGCGCATCAGCCGGCTTGGATGAACCCGCGTGGTGCAGCAGCGCAACATTTACGGAGCTAACGTACTGGAACCACGACGCGGCGCCCGCCCCAAGCGACTGGCAAGCTCGCTGCCTGGACTGGCTGCTGTTGGCCGACAAGGTGCGAACTGTGCGCAAGATGCACACACTTGCGTCCATGTACAGGCGGCGAGCGGTGTGCTGCGCTTGAGTGGTCCACTGTTGATATCAAGGAAGTGAAACAACAACCACTTGGCGGATGTGCTTGTACCATGCGCAGGTGCACGCCCCCGTGAGCCAGCAGGCAGTGGAGCAGGAGCTGGCACGAACTGGAGTGCAGGGTGCAGGCGTCACCGGCGTCGCCTGAGCGTGCACAGGGGTAGCAGCCTAACGGAACGTTGTGAACGAAAAGTATACCTCAACTACCTTGGAGTCGTAGTCGGCCGTCACCGTCTCACAGGGGATCAAAGGAGCAAGTGTGCGGCAAGCAGCGGAGGGCACAAAGCGAGTGGGGTATCCCTGCCCGTACCCGTTCCACCGGGACTCATATCACCAAATGAACTGATGTTTTTGGTGCAGTTTGGCGCAATTCAAGAGGGCTGTGTCCGTTGATTTTTCATGGGTGGGTGGGTGGGTGTGCCGCTGGTGACGACAACGTGCGGCTGCTGCAGTTGCGCCTGGTTGGCCTGTGGTGTTTTGCTGGTGCACAAATTCAACTTGTTATGTTTATGACGCGTGGCGTGTGCCGTGGGGTCTCACCAGATGGCATACAAAGGCTCGAGGCCCAGCCAGTCTGATCAGCGAGCAGCTTACTAGCTATGTGTACGAGGATCGCGTTGATCGTGCCCGTGACAGTGCATTTGCGGCATGCTGCGCGGTGCGAGATCCACCCGCGTTGCTTTGACAGCCTGCGCGCGGGCGCAATGGGGCCGCGACAGTAGTGGCATTCAAGGCTTCAGTGCAGCCGCGCCTGAGGGCGCCAGCGAGGGTGAGCATTTGACACAACAGCAGCCGCACGCGCACGCGAACGCCAACGGCGCTGCATGATGCGCCTTGTGGGGTTTGGTGTTGGCTCGGCACAGCGGCATGCTTCCCCACACTGCAATATAGAAGACCTTTGCCACTCCCCTCCCTTGCACCAGCCTGCCGTGGTGTGCTTGTGTTGGCATGCAACACAGCAGCTGGCAGCGAGTCCAGCGGAGCATGTGCCGCCGCTCATATCGTGGCCGCTGCAGCCGACGGGATCCCTGCCAGTTCAAGCAATGGCCGCACTCTCGCAGCTGCAGCGCCAGCAGAGGCGACCGGCCCGGCTTCCGGAGCGCAAGCCAGTGCGGCAGCGTCCTGCATGGAGGACGTACCGCCGGGCATTACGCTCTCCCCGCAGCTTCAGCCGCCGCTGAATTTCTCAAACAGCGACTTCAAGCGGTATGCGCGCTGGGACCGCGCCCGTATGGAGGCCGAGCTGTCCGCCCTGCAGGCGCGGGCCGCCGAGGTCCAAGCGGCGGGCGGGACCCTCAGCTCGTGGCTGTGCCTTAAAGCCACGTTCTTGCATCAGCGGCTGATTGGCCGCGGCGGTGCCAACCAGGTGGTTGCCGCAGCAGACAAGCGGGGACTGGACGTCGCAGCAGACACCAGCTTGCAGCGGCCGCTGCAGTTGGCAGGCGGCGGCATAGGAGGACAGGTGCAGCAGGTGGTTGCTGAGGCGGGGTGCACCTTCAGCAGGGACCCCCATGGCGGGGACGCCGTTGGTAGGGACGCTGGGCAGCAGCAGCACCAGCAGCAGCAGCAGCACCAGCAGCAGCACCAGCAGCAGCAGCAGCAGCAGCATCGGCTGCGGCAGCCGCATCAGCAGCGGCAGCGGCAACGGCAGCGGCGGCAAGGGCGCCAGCAGCAGCAGCTGCTGGACCTGATCATGCGGGCGCCTCTACAGCTGCCCTACCAGCTGCATCATGTTGCCCATCACCCCCTGTCAGCAGCACGCGCCGGCGACCCCTTCGATTACGACCCGGCAGGCGCCGCGCGCGTGGCTGGCTGCGACCAGGCACTGGCAGCAGCGTGGGCATTGGCGCACCAGGGTGCGGGCAACTCCCACCGGCTGCGGCAGCAGCGACTCCTATTCCACCACCTCGCGACGCGGGGCGGCCGGGCCGCCGGCGGCGGCAGCAGCCGCGTTGGCATCGAGGTGGCGGCGTTCTCGTCAATCACGCGGCTGGAGCACTCCGGCAGGAGCCTACCCGCTGGCGCAGTCATGCGCACGGAGCTGCAGCATGAGGCCGAGCCTGCTTCTCAGGACCACAGGCTGTCGCCGCGGGCGCATGCGGGCGGTTTCGGCTGGACGGGTTCAGGGCTGGGGCCGCGGCCCTCAGACCCACGGGAAACCTCAGGCGGTGGCTGGCGCGAGGGCAACTCAAACGATGGCTGGGAGGCGATGAAGAGCCGCCTGCTTAGCAGGCAGGGTATACAGCCACTGGTGAAGGATGCGGCACGCGAAGTACAGAGGGCAGATGCAGAGGCAAGTGTGCCTGCCGAGGGCGGAGCTGGCGCGCTGGCAGACGCAGGCGCGCCGGTAGCTGCTGGCTCGCCCGCGGTCGTAGGCGTGCCTGCTGCCGCAGGCGCGCAGCCAACTGCAGAAGCGCCGTCAGTGGCGGTGGCGGCCGGCAACAAGCACGCCCTTCTCGAGGCGATGAAGCGAGCGGCAGCTGGGACATGGCCGTCGTCGTCGTCATCCCTGAAGCTGCGGCCCCCCGTTGCTCTGGAACCGCTGGCACGCGACGCGACGCCGCAGCCAGCAGAGCCGGTTGCTGCAAAGGGCACTGCAAGTGTTTTGCTCAGCATCACTCCCGCTCCCCGTCTGAGCCTCAGCAGCGACAGCAGCAGTCGCACCAGCAGCAGCAGCAGCAGCAGCCTGCCGGACGCCAGCCGTAGGGCCGTTGCGCCCACCACCGACAACAGCATCGCCACGTCGCTAGGCCAGTCCCTCACCTATGCTCAGGAGGCTGCTGCAGGCGCAGCTGTTCACAATTCTGAGCAGCACCTCGCGCGTGGCGATGCGAGGGATGCGCAACAGGTCTGGCAGGATGAAGGTGGCGAAGCCCTGCGGGCGCTCATGTCACCCAGGCCCACAGCCATGGACGATCACGTGCCGCAAACATCTGCCTCAACTTCAGACCAGCAGCAGCACACGACACTTCACGATCATCATCCTCACCATCATCAGGAGCAGCAGCAGCAACAGCAGCAGCAGGTGTCGTTGCTGGCTCTGGCTTTGCAGGATGAAGCCGATGTGCAGAGCCTATCGGCAGCCATGGCCCTGGCCGAGGCAAGCGCTGTGGCCGCATCCACGCTCCAGCGCGCCCCGCAGCGGGACGCCCCTGAGGGACGGCAGGGCGTGTTGATGGAGCAGCGTGACACAGCACGCCGTGCGGCGGAGGCCGAGGAGGCGCTGGCGAGCATCTTTGAGCGCCAGGCGCGGCGGCAGCAGCACAAGCAACAGCACGAGCGGACTCCGCGGCCGCAGCCGCAGGAGCAGCCACGGCGGCAGCAGCAGCAAGTGCAACACCAGGCAGAGGCGCCCTCGCTGTTGACTGCGGCGGAGCCGGCTGTCGAGGAGCGGGCGCCGCCCACCCAGCTGGTACCCCAGCAGCAGCGGCGCTATGACGAGTTGCTGGAGCAGCTGAGGGCGGGCCCTGCGCAGGAACAGGATTTGGTGAGGGGAACAGCGGGACCAACGCAGCAGCAACAGCACCAGCACCAGCACGAGAAACAGCAGCGGCAGCAGCAGCAGCAGCGGCAGCATTTGCAGGCGACAGGCAAGCCGCAGGCGTCCCTTGATGACCTGCTGCGGCACATGGAGGGCAGCGGCTCGGCGCCGCAGCCTGTATCGCCGGTATCCGCGGGCCTGGCCGCCTTAGACATGGCCAAGGCTGTTGCCACGGACGGCGCCCAGCAGCGGGTGCCACCAACCCAGCTGGGAGCTCAGCAGCAGCAGCGCTATGACGAGTTGCTTGAGCAGCTCAGGGCGGGCCCCGCGCGGCAGCAGGGGCTGAGGGCAGCACAGGGAGAAACGCAGTCGCAGCATCTGCAGCACAAGCACGAGGAGCAGCAGCAGGAGCACCAGCAGCAGCAGCAGCAGCAGCATATGCAGGGGCCAGGCAGTCAACAGCCATCCCTTGATGACCTGCTCCGGCGCATGGAGGGGAGGGGCTCGGCGCCGCAGCCTGTATCGCCGGTAGCCGCAGCCCTGGCGGCCTTGGACCGGGCCAAGACTGTTGCCGCAGATAGCGCCCAATCATCCAGCAGTGCAGCGGCACAGGTGCGCACAGCACTCATCTTGAACCGTGTGGAAGCACCGGGCAAGCCGGCCGACCAGCAGCAGGCGGCGCTGACCCAGCTGCGCGCCCAGCAGCAGCGGCGCTATGACGAATTGCTTGAGCAGCTCGGGGCGGGCCCTGCACGGCAACAGGATCCTGTGCAGACAGCAGAGGGGCCGATGCAGCCGCAGCAGCAGCAGCAACAACAGCAGCAGCGGCAGCAGCATTTGCAGGCGGCAGACAAGTCACAGGCGTCCCTTGATGACCTGCTCCTGCGCATGGAGGGCAGCCGCTCTCCACCCCAGCCTGTGTCGCCGGTAGCTGCGGCCCTGGCAGCCTTGGGCGCCAAGGCTATTGCCACGGACGGCGCCCACGCGTCCAGCAGTGCAGCGGCACAGGTGCGGCCAGCACTCACCTTGCACCGTGTCGAAGTGCTGGGCAAGCCGCCTGTCGAGCAAGGGGCGCCGCCCACTCAGCTGGGAGCCCAGCAGCAGCAGCGCTATGACGAGTTGCTTGAGCAGCTCAGGGCGGGCCCTGCGCGGCAACAGGCTCTGGAGCAGATAGCAGAGGGGCCGATGCAGTCGCAGCAGCAGCAGCAACAGCAGCAGCAGCGGCAGCAGCAGCAGCATTTGCAGGCGGCAGACAAGCCACAGGCGTCCCTTGATGACCTGCTCCTGCGCATGGAGGGCAGCCGCTCTCCACCCCAGCCTGTGTCGCCGGTAGCTGCGGCCCTGGCGGCCTTGGGCGCCAAGGCTGTTGCCACGGACGGCGCCCACGCGTCCAGCAGTGCAGCGGCACAGGTGCGGCCAGCACTCAGCTTGCGCAAGCCGCTTGTTGAGCAGCGGTCGCCGCCCACCCAGCTGGGAGCCCAGCAGCAGCAGCGCTATGACGAGTTGCTTGAGCAGCTCAGGGCAGGCCCTGCGCGGCAGCAGGCTCTGGAGCAGACAGCAGAAGGGCCGACGCAGTCGCAGCAGTGGCAGCAGCAAGCGCAGCAGCGGCAGCATCGGCAGCATTTGCATGCGGCAGACAAGCCACAGGCGTCCCTCGATGACCTCCTGCGGCGCATGGAGGGCAGCGGCTCGGCGCCGCAGCCTGTATCGTCGTTAGCCGCGGCCCTGGCGGCTTCAGACCCAGCAAAGGCTGTTGCCACGGACGGCGCCCATTCGGCCAGCAGTGCAGCGGCCAGCAGTGCAGCGGCAGAGGTGGGAGATGTCATGACGCTGCGCTTGAGCCGCAGTGAAATGCTTGGCAGGTCGGGCAGCAGAGCCTGGGGCCCGCGGCCCACCTCGCAGGTGCCGGCCAGCTTCCTGGCGCTGCAAGAGGCGCTGGCGGCGTGGCAGCATCAACAACAGGCGCCTGGGTCGCAGGACGGCGCAGTCGGCGTTGGCAGCAGCAGTGGCGGGACTCTGGACATGGTGCTGTCCAGCATGCAGGCGCAGCTGGCGCCCAAGCAGCAGGGAGCTGGCCAGCAGCAGCAGCAGGGGCAGCAGCAGCAGGAGCAGCAGCAACAGCGGCAGCAACAGCAACAGCAGGCTGTCGCTGCGCCTCTACGTGCGGCCGCTTCCGTGCACGACGGGGGGCGCGGCCAGCCGACCTTGCGGGTGGGGCAGCCGCTGCGCTCCAGTGTCCTGGACGCGACTTTGCAGATGGGAAGCACAGTCCTGGGTTCGCGCCCCACCCCTAGAATGCCAGCCAGCTTCAACGCGCTCCAGGAAGCGCTGGCAGCCCGGCAGCAGCACGAGCGCCAGGCACCCACTCAGCAGCACAGCGCTGCGGATGGCAGCAGCAGTGGCGGGACTCTGGACATGGTGCTGTCCAGCATGCAGGCGCAGCTGGCGCCCAAGCAGCAGGGAGCTGGCCAGGAGCAGCAGCAGGGGCAGCAGCAGCAGCGGTGGCAGCGGCCTTTGGGCCTGGCGGAGCTGGTGGAGCGGCCTGCTGCAGCATTCGAGGCGGCTGCGCAGCAACAGCAGCAGCAGCAGCAGCAGCAGCAGCAGCGCCTGCTGCAGCAGCCTCTCTTCAGGGACCTCGCGGAAGCGCTCAGCGCCCCTGCAGGGGCCGCAGCCCCGCCCCTGCAGCCGCAGACGGCCCCTCGGGAGCCCGCGGCGGCCAGCCTCGAAGACATCATGCGCGCGATGGAGCAGACGCCGCAGGCGCCGACGCGCACGGATGGAACGGGTGGTGAGCAGCAGTCGTGGATGCAGCAGGTCATCAGCGGGGAGGTGGTGATTGCGCCGCCCCCGGCAGAGCAGCAGGCCAGGCCGACGTCAAGGGGGCAGCATTGGCAGCAGCACCACCACCAGCATCAGCAGCAGCAGCAGCAGCCATGGGAGGAGGACTGGTCGCGGGAACCGCAACACTACGACGCGCCGCAGCGCGACTGGCGGCGGCGAGACGAGCGGCCGCCGGCGAGCGATCCCGTCGCCGCGGCCGACGCCGCCACGGTGCTGGACGAGGACGAGATGAGCGAGCGGCTGCGGGCGACCAGGGCGCTGATCAACCTGGAAGTCAGCAAGATTGACCGCGAGCAGAAGGTCAAGGCCAAGGGCCGCGCCGAGGAGCAGCGCCGCGCGGCGTGGGCCGCGCCGGACGCCTCGGACGAGGAGGCCGAGGCGCCCCGCGGCCGAAAAGGCGCGAGCGGCGCGCGCAGCAAGGCGCTGGCCCGGTTGGCGGGCAAGGCGGAGGCGGCGGCCGCGGCCGCGGCCGCCAGGGAGGAGCGCGGCAAGAAGAAGGCCGCGGCGGCTGCCGCCGGCGCCGACCGCTGGGCCAGCAAGCTGCAGGGCCTGCGCCCAAGCGACGCGGGGGCGGGCGCCGCGGCCGACGAGGCCGCGCATCCCGGAGACGCGGCGGCGGCGCCCAAGGCCGAGGCTGCGGCCGCAGCCGCCGCACGGGGGCGCAGCGCAGGGTCAGGCGCGGCAGAGGGCGAGCTGGCCCACATTGAGCTGCCGGGCGGCTGCAGCGTCCGCCAGCTGGCGGCGCTGCTGGGGGCCGACTTGGACGCGGTGGAAGCTGCCCTGACGGAGCTGGGTGACGTCATCTACTCATGTGGGCGCCTGGCGGGCGTGTTTGTGGCAGTTTTGGTCGCGGGGCGACAGCAAATGGACCTAGCTGCACCAGCAATCGCATGATGCTCTAAGATGCTGCCGCATCTGCCCGTCGCCCCCGCTCAGCCGCCCCATGCCCCTCACGCCCCAACACCACGCATTCCCATGTTTCATCATGATGTTTAAACATCAGCTCCCCCACACTCAACACCAGCGCGCCTTTCCCTCCTCGCAACCCCTGCCGGCCCAACCCTCGGCTCCCTTGGACCCTACCCCCGACCGCAGCCGAGGACCCCGTCAACCTCGAATCGGCCGAACTGGTCGCCCTCGACTACAACGCGCTGCTGGTCAGGACAGAGCAGGCCGCCGGCGACGGCGGCGCCGCGGCCCACGG